ACCCTTCTCTGTGTAAAGCAAATAAAAGCATGCGCTCATTGTGCTTTGTATGTTCTTTTCAATTCGTCAAGAGCAATGCAATTACCATTGACGTCATCAAAACTAGTAATATAAAGTCGTTCTTGCAAGTCGATTATTACATAAAGAAATCTTTTCTAATACAACACTATAAAACAATTCGTTCAAGACAGAGCGTTCTAAAAATACATTGTAGAGGTTCGATCGAATTTATCTGATCTCCAATGGAATCGAAGTACATATAATCTATAACATTATCCTGTTTTTTCAATATTCGCTGCCGCATGCGTTGTTTGCGTTCTAAATAGTTTAAAAAAAAACATCCAGTGAATTTTGTTTTAGTTTGGTTAACTTTTTTTAAAAACATTTATTCAATATAAAAATGAATAAATTCTGCATGAATATAGGTTGAAAAAAGTCTATTTTGTTTGATTCACGAGTAGGGGTGAATTTATCCTTGCCAGGATATTGAAACTTTTTATATGTATCTGTCAATCGCTTCGATTTATGATATCTCTGGTCTATTGAGGACTGGTTAAGTTTTGAAAAGAGATTAAGTTTGTTTATGAGTGCCGAGGATAACAAAACGTTATCAAACAAAACTAAAACTTTCATTCTTACTACACCCTCAACTCTAAGGAGACACAATCATCTAATCTCAAACTTCGTTTTAGTTTCATCATGAAAATGTCACTGGAAAAAGTGAAAAGTGAATTTCAATTGCAGAATAAATATTAAAATAAAATCCTTTTCGTAATGAAAAAGCTCAAGGATGTGAGTATGAATGTATATCACGTAGCGATTGGTACCGATACTCATCGTTCATTGTTCAATTGGTTGGCTTTTCTCATAACATGGCAACAAAGTAATAGATAGTATGACCGGTTCTTTTTTCTGTATTTTTCATCGATTCTGATTGAAATTCTCGACTTCGACTGACCGACGAAACAATGTCTGTTGAATTTGTGATTTCATCAAGAAAGAATCAAATTTTGTATCTTGCAGTAATTAAAAAAGATTTGTAACTATCTTCATTCACACTAGATAATCAAATGCGAAGGAAGCGAGGGCAATAAAAACTGAAGTATGCGATAGATAACGGTGAAAAGATAAAGTTTACGGTCGAGATTAACAATATTTACTGTTGTCAAACTACAATGACCAAAAAAATGAGTTGATTACTGATGGAGAAAGCATAGGCCAAATAAGTAGTAGGAATATTGACATGTCTAATATTCGCGTAGATTACCAATATATTTGATTGATAGAAGACTCAAGTAGAAAGTGCAAACCATCTGTTTATGAGTTTTTGATTTTATATATCTCGAATACCAATAGTGATATTTTTATTTGTCTCTTCGATGGATGCGTCCTCCGTGGATAAATCTACAAACACTGATCCTATTCGGAAAAATTTTTGGCGCCGATGTGGTCTAACACACAAAGTTTTATTTCAAGTTATAAGTCAACTACTCTTACCCTTATTATTAGCCGTCTTCACTGTCGTCATCACATTTGATCAAAGAAATGAAATTCGTGCTCAACGAACTGAAGATCGATATCTCGCCAGTGAACAGCGACAACAAGATATGAACATATCCCGCGATCAACGTGATAACGACAGGCAAATCGCTGAACAGCAACGTCAACATGATAAGCAAATTGCCGCAGAAAAACGTACTGCAGATGATTTAAATGCCGCAATTCAACGCAACATGACACGTGATCAACGTATGTATGAGATTGAAGTTGAACAGGAACGATATCGGAAAGAAAATGAAAAGTACCTTGATGCTCTATTACTTTCATACTACAACGAAATGGGTGATTTATTTCAAAGAATTAATGGAACTTTATTATTCAATAATCCCACGACATTCTCATTAGCACGCGCAAAAACATTGAATGTCATCGAACAGGTCGGACCAATTCGGGCTGTTCATCTTATTATGTTTCTTTACGGTGCTGGCCAATTAAGTGTTGGAAATAAGTCACTCGATTTAACCGAAGCATTTCTTAATCAGATTAATTTAAGATCTCAACGAACTTTGAAGCACATTTATCTGATTGGGGCTTATCTTAACAATGCTGTGTTCGATGGGCAAGATGTTTCCTATGCAAATTTTCGTGGTGCACATCTGAATCATGCAAGTTTTCGAGGAGCAACATGTATTGGTACTATTTTTGATGATGCGCATTTGAATTCAGCTGATTTCTCCTTTGCAAATATCACCAAGGCATCGTTTATTCGATCAAATTTACAATTGTCAACTTTTTATCGGACAGTGGGAAACGATTTTAATTTTGAAAAAGCTCGAATGCAAGAAACAAATTTCTCGCAAGCAGATTTTGATTGTGATTTTAGGAAGCCGTCAGGATTTATCGATTCAAATTTAGCCAGAAGTAACTTACAAAACGCGCGATTACGTGCATGTTATTTGGTGTTTTGTAACCTAACACATGCGGATTTCACCAATACTGATCTCCGTATCGCTAATTTGACGGGAAGTTTATTGTCTTATGCGATATTTCAGAATACCGATTTGGGCTATACCCTACTATGGAGCTCAAATTTGTCTTTTACTAATCTGGCAAATATTCGATGTTCGGGTAGTAACTACAATATATCAGCATGTAAACTCCATCAGGCGTTAACGTTGGAGAATAGTTATCTATCGAATAAAACGTTTGGACTTGCACCAGAAGCATTTCTTACGGCCCAAGACAGACCTCATTGTCAACAACACGTGTTAGGGTACGTGATTGATTAAGATATTTTGTATTTTTAGAATTATCCTTAGGCAAACATTTCCTTTAAATAACAAAACTCGATGGGTAGTTCAACTGAATTCTGTATTCAATAAATATCGTCTTCTTAATGAGAGTATCGATTAGTATGTAGAGTTATTTTCGTCTTTTGATCTAATCATATGGCTGCTACTTTAGTAAATACAGCGCTTGTGTTTTTGTACCTAAAGCAACCCCGGAAGCAGTGACTATGATTCAACGTTTCAATTTAGAACATTACAATGTACTTATCGGAGCAAAGAGAGCGAAACTGACAATACACGCTACTCGTGGGCCCGACGTCAGTATTACTTTAACTGAATTCAATAAAAACTCGTTACAAATAAAGGTAGATCCACATGTTGGTTATCGCTGGACAGAATTGCTTGATGAAGAAACAGTGGCCATCGAAATTGAAATCACATTTTTCAATGCAATGCATGCAGCGTACTCCTGGTTGGAAGCTCTTGAAATTTTTCTTGAAGCTGATATAAGAGCACCAGATACTCAACTGATACATCCGTGACAAACGTACGAATAGATGCTTAGAACTCTAGTGATCACTTTTGGGTGAACTACGTTTCGTACCACTTTATTTTTCCGAACTCCCGGAACCGATGTCCGTTACGAACACCGTGACAAAAAAGCCACTGGCGATTTTATCATGAAGTCCGTAATCGAAAACATGAGGTATATATGTCAGATGTCCGGAACGATGTATAACCGGTAGATCGTAACTATAACACTCAGTATCAATCAATAAGGATCGAGCGGTACAAATTTAATTACAGGCCGGAATGGAACAACCGGAAGCCCCTAATAATTAGCAATGAGCAATTGACGTGAAGGCGACACTGTATTCGTATTGAAATGAAAATTTGTTCATAACAAAATAAAACGCGTAGTAATACCTTATTTTTCTAGTTATCTTTGTAAATATTGAAAACAAAAGAAAATTCATTATGCTCATAACGATCTACCGGTAAGTTCTTTTACGAACTACATGACGAGCTCAATTTACATTTTCAGTTACATTCAATCTTGTATCTTACGATCACTGTGATAAAACTATAGCTACATTCTAAATGTTTTGTTCCAAATACCTAATCAGTGTATTGAAATCTCGTTATTTTTTAATTTTACGATCTTCGGTAGAAAAGAAATTTCGAACTCCCGTCACACAATCCAAAAAATTTCCGGACACCAGGCATTCCGGACTCCTGCACGAAATTTAGGGAAAAAAAATTTTTTTCCGAACATCCGGTCGTGCTGCCAGATGTTCGGAATAGGTGGTACGAAACGTAATTTTCCCTCACTTTTCAAACATTCGTTTTCGCCGTTCACTGAATAAATACACTTTGAGCTTGCGTTTGTCTGTATCAGCGTGATAAAAGCTAGGGCGACAGTGAGTGAGAGTGTGAGCAAGGGCATTTTCTTCACATTCGTCTATCATATTCAAAGGTTAGGCACTGAAGAAAGTATTCATGGAGTTCATACTATCTATGCATCATTAAATCTGAACATCTCTGACCGACTATTTGTTCTGAGGTAGGTAATCCAATAATGTAAATGATCGTTTGTAATCACTAAACATTGGTTTGATGACATGGAGAACCATCGAAACTTAAACATTCGATTTAATTTGTTGAAAAAGAAAAGTCGAAGTCCTGACAACGAAACAAATGATATAGCCATTTGTAGGAAATAGTTTTTTTTTCAAGCGCGGAAACTGAAGAGGATTGAAAATGTCTTGTCCAATGTAAACGCTTCAGTTTGTTAGCTCAGCCATACTTGTGAAAACTAATTTTTACTGAAAGTCACGCTTTTTTATGCATGAATACTGTTGGAAATGCACTATTGAAATTTTTTTAACAATGTAACTCAAAAAGCGTAAAATGAGTTCGATATCTACCAATGTTGATACGTCGGCTATCGAATATAAAAGATGATTGTTCTGTTTAGATTTTAGAGCATAGAAAGTACTGGACATCTCGTGTTCATTTGTCTAGTTTGATCATATCAGAAATTACTTACCTGGAGGAAAAGAATGAAGATTTTCATAATTTGGATTATTTTTGCAATGAATATTCGTGGTTGTCAAGGAGATATGTATTCGTATATCGATTTTCATTCTGGTAGTACTGATTTTATTCCTGCAAATTCTGCCGAAATTCGTGGTAATCATTTATCAGTGGCTTCAGCGTTCTCTTGTGCTCTATTATGCCATCAAGATCCGCAATGTCGCACATTTGTCTTCGATTCATCGATTTGTCAATTATATGAAGGTTCATCTGATACCGGCCTTATCGTTAGTTCACCTTCAACTAATCGTCTAGTGGGTAGTATCAACTATGATCTTGTTCAACTGGCAAATACATACAATAAATCATGTGATCATTGCTTTCCTGATCGATATTTAGTATGCAGAAATAATACATGGCAATGTCCTTTGAATAGTTTTTATAATGGACAAGGTAAATGTCTCCATGAACTTTATCCGGATTCTTCAATGATATGTGAAGATGATAAATGGTACCGTCAAAGTATGAATCAAATTTGTCAATGTGGAAAATGCCAATGCCGAACTGGACAAATCTGGTTTAGTAAAACATGTAGACCACAGTTTCTGAGTGGAATATCTTGTAATACAAGTGATCAATGTCGAAATGATCTCAATTTAGTTTGTTCAAGAATTAACAAAACATGCATACGTAGGTTTTTTACTTCACTTTAATGCAATAGTCATATATTCTGTTGCGTTATAGCTATGCGAATTGTACGAATGCCCGTGATTAGTGGAACACTCCCCAGTAAATTTTCCTATGTCGATGAGTCTTTCAACATTAGTGGAATGGAATGGTGGCGTGCTTTTGACGGTAATATATACACTTATTAGAATAGATTAGGAAGTTACAATGTATTAGACTATATATTTATAACTTTTAATGATACATATTTATTAAATTCATTACAACTAACAGTATATGGCGATTGAGGGTGTGGTCCAAAAATAATCAATATCTATTTAGATGAAAATGGAACGTGTTTAGCTCAATCATTTTGGTTTCCACAAGCAAACAGTTACACTACTTTCCCACCAAACTACTTCAATACAAGTGTAAAACCGTTAGCAACAAAATATGCATTGTTATCTATCGAACGGTGGTCTGTCTATCAGACCTATCTTTTCGAGTTGACATTTTTTGGTGGCTTATATTAACCCATATAAAAACTATACGTTTCTAAATTCAAATGCGTTTCGCTTATTTTAAGTATTTCACGTTTAAATAAACTTTTACATCGTAGAATAACCCTAACGAATGAAGAAAATGTCGGTCTAAACGTAAAAATGATCAAAAACAAGAATTTAACTAACATTTGGATGTAACTTTTCTATGTTTTGAATAATCTCTAAGACAACATTCGTATTGAAACAACGATTATTCGCTCTTTAGGATTGAGTCGAGTATTATTCATCAACGCAAGATCCTTCTCTTGTCATCAAAGAATTATGCATCTCACTCTTTCAATCTCCAACATGACCGTAAATGGTGACTAAATATTACAAAAAGCAAAAGTGCATTTTTGTGAAACGATTCTCTTGTTTCGACTCAATCTACATAAATAACTCAAATCCGAATGATTTGTTTCTTTCTTAGCTATGAATATTTCATCTCGTAGCCTTTCAAATTTGTCTTTTCATGTGAACACTCAAGTGTGTAACAGCATAATCTCATAAGATCGATGTTCGGTCGATTGTCGATAATGAATGAAAGTATTTGTCCTCCAGCTCCATCGAGTCGACACTCTCATTATAATTTATTGCGTATTGAGATAGTTTTATGAATTTCTTTTCCTAATATGTTCACATTGTTTATTTTAGAAATCAAAGAACGATTGTTGTCAGTGAAAACAGAAGGGAATATCGAATAGATCAATTGTGTTTTCACACAGTTCATTAATAATACGGGGAAGATGGGAAATTGAAGAACAAGAATGGAGTCTAGTGGCTAGTGCGAGTGGACAGAAGATGAGCTAAATTGATTTTTGATGATTATAATCAAATTTATGTGACAGATTATAACGATCGACGGGTGCAAAAATTTCTTACTGAAATAAGTGGAATTTCTTGCTGTGAGACTTAAAACTCGAAATAAAAAAAAGAGCTAAAAGTCTCCAAGTTCATTTTATTAGAATCAATTTGGTAAGGATACATAGTGAATGATATCTCGATTAAGCATGAAGAGCATTTATTTAGGACTTGAGTGGCTTAATCGTGGAAAGATCGTCTATGATGGCCAAAGACATGACAGGTTTGTGCCACTCATCACGACTTTCAATACCGTGAAAACCACCTACAACATAGCATGTCTTCTTCTCGTTCGTCGGTACACTTTCAAATTCGACAGGTGTGACAATCGGGTGTAATGCAACTTCATCGATGTTGCAATCGCTTTTGGTATGAAGTCCGTAGCAGAGTTGAAGAAACCAACCTGTAAGCTTCGTGTAACTTCTATTACACGAAAATCTTGCAACAAGATTCATATCAACAATGAANAAAAATGCTCATAATTTTTATGATGATCTCTTATGATTTCAAATTAACTTCTATTGATAGAAATTGGTTTGTTTTCCCTTGAACTGACTATACGACTCAATAATATCTAAGAAAAGACATGAATCAATATAAACACTAGTGTTTCATTATGTCTATCATCACAAAAAGTAAGTTCTTAAGAAGCGACCGGTGGTTGGGCGAACAGCTTCGGTGGTTGGGCGGCGCCCAACCTAGCCCACCCTTGGTTACGCCACTAATTGAGAGCATCGCAAAAGATCATCTCAAAAATAATATTTATCTTTGAATAAAAAATAACACAACTAAATGAATTTTATATAGAGAAATTGATCAATATAGTTTTGATTAATTAAAACAGGTCAACTAGTGAACACTTAAGTAGATTGAATTGATGAAAACTACGATTATATTCAAATTAATACGAAGTTTTTTAATAAAAATACAATTGCTATTAGCATCGGACGTGACATAAGACTTTTTGAATCCAAAAAAAGAATCTTTTTCTTTCAATATAAATGTACCAATTAATTCTTTTTTTCTTCGTATTTTTTTAATAATCGAGAGTTTCATAGCGAACGAAGAATATTCGAGAGAAAATATCAATGATAATAACATTTCTGTTAATTTTTCTTCGATTCTTTAAATATACTGTATATATAAATATGTCATTTTCGATCTGTTCTTCAAACTTCTATAATTATTTATTAATTCATTTTGAAAATACGTAACAATGTCATGTGTGTGTGTGTGTGTATTTATTACATAATTAACAAAGAAAACCAATTTGATATTTGACTCTGAATTGAATAATTATATAAAACGAGATATTTCTCAAAATGTATCGCTTTCTGATAGAATTATTTTTCGTGAAATTAATTATTGTCGTTGATTTCATCGTCAAATAATTGTGGTGACTTCTTTCAAATTTGTATCGTTTTGTTTGTATTCATTTTATTACTTTGTACAATTTATCGAGTTTATTCACATAATATTCCCGAAACAATTCGATGCATAACTTAACCCATGTCCAAAAGCCCGGCACGGAACCCGTCGGATCCAGCATCTTCCGAGCAAATCATGGAAGCAGGATTCCCGCTCGGAAAACATCGGCTTTTTTCCCGCCCGTTTCCCATCATATCCGATCGGAAATCGCACGAAAACAACGGGAAATCACCGCGACCTTACGATGCAAATCCCACACTCGGGGACCGTCCGGAAACCAACAGAACCTATAAACGCTTCCACAACCAGTTGAATCCGCAACTTTCCGATACTTTTCCGCCCACAAATACTCCCTAAACCCAAAAAAGCTGTCGCAACAAAACAGCTCAATCCAGCAAACAGTCATTCACCGGCATGACAAAAACTCTACAGTCATTTTCACTCCAAACTAACCTCCAACAACACAAAGAGCCATTTTCTTTACCATTAAGAACAACATTCACCTAAACAATCATTCATAGACAAATAATTAAAACAACACACCAACACAATATCTACAGCTTCTTTCCCCATATGACAAATTTATCATTCTCCTACCAATCCGATCATGCATCCAGTGCACGCGCCGACATATTGATTGTTCAAAACTCGGATTCATCATCGGATGAAAAATCCGATCGAAAAATGGACATCATCACTCTAAATATTTTTTCCGATAACTTCTATATGATGGATTTATGATTGGATGAAAAATCCATAGATGAAGCATCATATGTTGATTGGGTAGTATTTAAACTTATTTTAGTGTGATGGATTTGAAATCGGATGCTATTTGGTTGGAAAACTATGGGAAAACGTGTTGGAAGGTTCAGGGCAGAAAGATTGCTTTTGGATTCGGTCGGGTGTTTCAGTTTTTGGTGGGTTTTGGTGGGTTATTCTCGGAATGGGGCGGCTGCTGGTGTGGAGTTTCCGCTCGGAACCCGTGCGTGGAAGTCTGTGGATTGTGTTGGATCTCGTTGGAAATGTATGGAAGTGTGAGGAAGTTTCCGGTAAGCTGGAAGTGGTGGAATTCCGTATGTTGTTTCCGGCAGGTTTGGTAGGGAAACGGGTGCTTTCCAATGGGTTCCTGCGGGATCCGGTGTCCGGAACGTTCGTCCTGGGTATCCGAAACAAATCATGTATAGAGCCTAAAATAATTTTCAAATGAGATGAGGGTAGTCTAAGATACTGAAAATGTTTCAAATAGCAGTAATGAGAAAGAGAAGTATTTAAAATAGTTGAAAGGTTTTCGAATATCCGTCAGTAGATGTTCGACGACATTTAATTTTTCCAATATCCAGCGGATCAAATTGATGTTTGCTTTGAATACCGTCAATCCAATGAGTTTTCGTTAAACGCGACCATCGCTTTTCTAGAGTTCTTTTGAAAACCGAGTCAACATCAGATGCGTTTATGAAAAAGACTTCAATTGGTCGATTAGGCTCAAGATCGCCTTTTATCACTTGGTGATCATTGACTTGTTGAGTAAACTTGAAAAATTCCTCTGCTGAAAGAAATGACTGTTCAGGTGTACTTTTGAGCAGGTGACGTGTTGCTGTAGATTTCACAGCAGCGCCAATACCATCCACAGGACCTTTGCCGTGAGAAGTACTGGAAAATGTCCAACTTGCTGGCAAACCGAAATCTCGTTCATGATAAGTAAGGTTTAACATATTCTTGGCGTTTTTAAAGTGCGCTGCAGCTCCATCACTGAGGTAGTTTCTAGGGAAAAAAAGTAAAGAAAGAAATAGAGTATTTCCGTAGAGGGAATAGCATGTGATGATGATGAGGTAAATATATGTAGGTCGTTATTTTTGTTGGCAGTCTTGCGCAAGAAAGAATAATTATTGCAATTGAATCTTAGAATTCATGAAAAGTGGAATGATACATCGAAACAATTATGTAAGCCAAATGAGAAGAAAAAAAACAGAATCTTTTCTCCTTAATTTGCAATAACTTTCGAAGGTTCAATGTTACATTGATCTTTCCCTTTGGAACATATTTTACATATCGTTTGAATTATACTCAAACGCTCTTTTCGGACACTTTTCTATAGAAAAATAACGTGTATCCTAGAACTTACAACTGTTTCACATTCGGATACCATTTTCTAATGAAATTAATAATCAAAATTTGAGCATAATAAACAAATTCAGTTGTGTGTTTCATATAGTCTGATATAATGGCAAGATTCCGATGACCAGCACCCATTTTAATATGCACCGTAAAAATAGTTACTTGTTGATGGCTATAATAGGATGACTGAACGGCTGACTGACTGAACAAATTGAAATTTTCAGCAAAATCTAATTGAATCACAGCGACACTATGTTCAGAAGACTTTGCCTTGATTTGTTTGATATATTCTCGTTGTTCTACTGTCACGAAATGGTGTTTTAAAAATTTTTCCCACAGACTGTCAAATTTTTCGATAACTGCATTAAGAGAAGTAGTATGCCTTTGTAATTCAACTCGTTTATCGTTTTTCTCCCACAATACCCATGTCACATCCTCTTCTCCGTCTTTCCCGCTGTTCTTCAATTGTTGCAAAAAAGTATTCGACGGTACTTCGGTATCACACGCCGAACATTCTCTTGAAAAACAGTCGATCGTGGGATTTTGACAAACTGTCATTTGCACCAGAAAAGAGAGAGTTAATCGAGTATTAAAAAGTCGATTTAAAACATTTAGAATAAGTTGAGGATTTTCATGATATTGACATGCACAATTCTATGTTGAGAAAGAAAATATAGTTAGTGAATTATATAGATGCGCAATATAGCAATGATTTACATCATGTGGAGTAGTGGTCTTAATCCATTTCGGTTTCACCGAACAAAACGTAGACTTTCCAACAGACATTGTTGGATTTTCTTGAATGAATTTTTGATAAGACTCTCGTAAAGTCATAAGCATGAAGCGAATTGGCTTCGGGTTTTTGTTATTTTGTAAAATATCTCTTTTGTTTGGCGAAGCCTAAAATATTTAAACTAAGACATTAGTCATAATTTTATCAAAAGTCTGTTACTTTCGTTTTTGTATACAATATCTACTATTCTGAACACTCACAATCGTTACAAAACTTGGTCTTAGTCGTAAGTCATTGCCTTATGAAAATTATATTATCTACATCGAACAATTCTACCCAAATCATTCTGATAGTAAGCAGTACCCCCAATCTAACAATATCAGGATACTAAACGTAACTTTTCGAGCATTTTAAAGAAATACATATCACAAAAACGTAGATATTTCATGTAAAAATTTTCATGTATGGCGATACACTACCTTGCTAACTTCATCACTGTGGAAAAAATCAAAAACAGTTTGTTCGATGATTGGATCAAATGGAAGATTTCCACGCGAATCTATTGGATATGATAAAACTTGCTTTGTATCACGTAAATGCACGCCATATCGCGCTTGATGATCAGAACATCCGAAAAAGTTTGAAATTTTAACACGACCCCAAGCTTTGGGAGATAAAGTCATCAGTCTGATCTGTTCGGAATAGTCACTGACATTCACAAGTAATTGAAAATTAGAAATAAGTTCATTATTATCGTCGATAGCTATTTCTTTCGTCTTATTCAGTCGAGTATTTTCTTCTTCTTCTTCATAATTGTTGGGACATAGTAGCTGCGTAGCTTCGCGAATCAAACGTATTCCATGATTCACCTTTTGTCGAAGTATATTTTGATTTCGTATGTCTCGAACTGATGATAAACCACACATTGAAAAGAAATTATTCAAAAGCTCTAAAGCTTTTTCTCGGTTGAAGTTTGATTCCATATTTGTAATTTCCTCATCGGAACTTTCCAATGATTCATCATTATCTGATTCACACATGTGAGGAGAATTTAAACTTGAAATATTAGACAAAGCCATGGTAGCAGCAGCTCGTGTAGGTCGGGGTTCATCCGTTTCCATAGATGACAATGAACTATCGAATGCATACATTCCATTATATTTTTTTATTGTTCGTTGATAACAAGGAGTGCACAAGTAGTCGTTCTCTGTGAACGACAACGCAGAATAACTAGTCAGAAATGTTGCTAAATCGTAACTCATTCGACGTTGTCCTTTGGGATACGTTGGCTTTTTACCAATCTTTGTTTTGTTCTCATGTGCGATAGAATTTGAACACCATACCGTAGCCATGAACCAATATCTAGCTATATTCTGGTAAAAATAACTATCTCTTGAAACTATAATACGGGTTAAACTTACATTATCTTTTATACGTATATGCACTCGATCACTGTAAGTTTGTAACAGATACTGATTTTTCTCTCTCTCAGAGTTCAGAAATTGGAAAAAAAGAACGACAGAACAAGCAAAAGAAATACATGTATGTATATGTAAGATATACGTAGACGTGAACCTTTCTCCTATTTAACATGTGCACTTTCTTATTGATACTAAAGGAAAAAGAATCTTTTTCACAGCCATTTAGTGAACGAGATCACTTTAAGAAAGATTCGGGTTTATTAAATCAACACTTGCGATTTAACTAAAATGTTTTTATATTTCGTATGAAGTCTCTCCAGGATGCATCTCGTTTTCCCATGCGACAGCACATACCAATACTTATGAACATTTTCATCACTCCCCACAGCACAAAACTCGAAATACCAGTTATTTAGCAATACGTTACAGATTGTTTATTTACATATCTCTATACATGATTTGTTTCGGACAGTGATTATGTCTATTAGTGTCTGTGTTAGAAAAGAAATAGATTTTCGATTTAGCGAACGAAGAAAACTCTGGCAATTCGTATTTAATGTAGATATCTGCTCGAGTGTACATCTAGTTACGCACAACTTGTTTGCTGAATAGAAATTCATTTTGATTGAATATTATGTTAGTATTGAAGTATCGTAGCAGGACATCTAGCGTCTTGAATATGACTTATTCGACATGTTTAGGAGATGAAATATTCTCAGTAAAGCTCGCAGGCATTTAAAATAGTTGTTCAATCGAAAACAAACACAATTTCATAGCTGCATAATATAAGAAGTGTAGATTTACATGTGTTATTACGAACAAATTAAAGAATATTCTCTTAGTTCTTCACTGTTCTATTGTATGAGGGTATAAATAGGATATCAGATGAACACGAACATATAGAATACGATGTAAATGTATGAAATAATCATATCTGGAAAAGTTTTACGAGGGAAAAATGTATATTCTTTGACAAAATGAGCCTATTTTCATGTTTATTAATGGAAAAAACCGACTTTTTATGATTTTAGCCTTTGCATTTTGTTGAATTAAAGAAGCGGGAGCCCGTATATGATGCATCTTGTAGAGAATTTAATTCTCTACAAAACCTTCTATGTGGCTATACTTGGGAATAAAATTTTCTCCTAAGGTTTTTTATTACAAGAGTAAGTACTAAAATATGGTGAGCGAGCTGGATGCATGTAGATAAAATATTGTTAAACTTGGATGAAACCTCAACATTTTATGATCAAAATGTAGCCTGAAACACCAGCTTTCAGAATATATAAGATACTTCGAATTTCTTCTGTTCAGCTGCAAAGATCTTACAGTCACAAGATTTTCGAAAAATTCGGAATTTTTAACTTTTGCTCGAAAGTCCCATAAATGTCATGATGAATACATGGGTACCTACTAAAGAAATTCGACAAACTGATTTCAGGGATTTTTATACCTCGATATGGTCTACAAGTGCTGAAAGTTTCAAGTGATTCGAAGATGGTTGCGTATGAAGTGGTTGAGATCCCATGGATTACCCCATATTTGATTGATAGAAAACTCAAGTAGAAATCGCAAACCATCTGTTCATGAGTTTTTCATTTTATATATCTCGAATACCAATAGTGGCATTTCTATTTTTCTCTTCCATGGACAAATCTACAAACACTGATCCTATTCGGAAAAATTTTTGGCGCCGATGTGGTCTAACACACAAAGTTTTATTTCAACTTATAAGTCAACTACTCTTACCCTTATTATTAGCCGTCTTCACTGTCGTTATCACATTTGATCAAAGAAATGAAATTCGTGCTCAACGAACTGAAGATCGATATCTCGCCGGTGAACAGCGACAACAAGATTTGAATATATCTCGCGATCAACGTGATAACGATAGACAAATCGCTGAACAGCAACGTCAACATGATAAGCAAATTGCCGCAGAAAAACGCACAGCAGATGATTTAAATGCCGCAATTCAACGTAACATGACACGCGATCAACGTATGTATGAGATTGAAGTTGAACAGGAACGATATCGAAAAGAAAATGAAAAGTACCTTGATGCTCTATTACTTTCATACTACAACGAAATGGGTGATTTATTTCAAAGAATTAATGGAACTTTATTGTTCAATAATCCCACGACGTTCTCATTAGCACGCGCAAAAACATTGAATGTCATCGAACAGGTCGGCCCAATTCGGGCTGTTCATCTTATTATGTTTCTGTACGGTGCTGGCCAATTAAGTGCTGGAAATCAGTCACTCGATTTAACCGAAGCATTTCTCAATCAAATTAATTTAAGAACTCAACGAACTTTGAAACACATTTACTTGAATGGGGCTTATCTTAACAATGCTGTGTTCGATGGGCAAGATGTTTCCTATGCAAGTTTTCGTGGTGCACATCTGAATCATGCAAGTTTTCGAGGAGCAACATGCATTGGTACTATTTTTGATGGTGCGCATTTGAACTCAGCTGATTTCTCCTTTGCAAATATCACCAAGGCATCGTTTGTTCGATCAAATTTACAATTGTCAACTTTTTATCAGACAGTGGGAAATGATTTTAATTTTGAAAAAGCTCGAATGCAAGACACAAATTTCTCGCAAGCAGATTTTGATTGTGATTTTAGGAAGCCATCAGGATTTATCGATTCAAATTTAGCCAGAAGTAACTTACAAAACGCACGATTACGTGCGTGTTATTTGGTGTTTTGTAACCTAACACATGCGGATTTCACCAATGCTGATCTCCGTATCGCTAATTTGACGGGAAGTTTGTTGTCTTATGCGATACTTCAGAATACCGATTTGGGCTATGCTCTACTATGGAGCTCAAATTTGTCTTTTACTAATCTGGCAAATATTCGATGTTCGGGTAGTAGCTACAATATATCAGCATGTAAACTCAATCTGGCGGCAACGTTGGAGAATAGTTATCTATCGAATAAAACGTTTGGACTTGCACCAGAAGCATTTCTTACGGCCCGAGACAGACCTCATTGCCAAGAGCACATGTTAGGGTACGTGATTGATTAAGATATTTTCTAGTTTTCGAGTTATCTTTAGGCCCACATTTCCTTTAAACAACAAACCCCGATGGGTAGTTCAACCGAATTCTGTATTTAATAAATATCGTCTTCTTAATGAAAGCGTCTCTTTGTACGTAAAGATATTTTCATATTTTGATCTAATGATATGGGTGTCGCTTTAGTAATTACATGGCTTGTGTTTTTGTGCCTAAAGCAACCCCGGAAGCAGTGACTATGACTCAACGTTTCAATTTAGAAAGTTACAATGTACTTATCGGAGCAAAGCGAGCGAAACTGACAATACATTCTACTCGTGGGCCCGACGTCCGTATTACTTTAACTCAATTCAATAAAAAATCGTTACAAATAAAGGACGATCAACATGTTTTTTATCGCTGGTCAGAATTGCTTTATGAAGAAACAGTGGACATCGAAATTAAAATCACATTTTTCAATGCAATGCATGCAGCGTACTCCTGGTTGGAAGCTCTTGAAATTTTTCTTGAGGCTGATATAAGAGCACCAGATACTCAACTGATACATCCATGGGAAACATACGAATAGATGCTTAGAACTCTAGTGATCATTTTTCAAATATTCGTTTTCGTCGTTCACTGAATAAATACGCTGTGAGCTTACGTTTGTCTGTATCAGTATGATAAAAACCGGGGCGACGGAGAGTGAGAGCGTGAGCGAAGGTATTCTCTTCTCTTTCATCTATCTTATTGAAATACAGACACAGAAGAAAATATTCATGGAGTTCATACTATCTACGCATCATTAAATCTGGACATCTCTGACCAACTATTTGTTCTGAGGTAATCCAATAATGTTAATGATCGTTTGTAATCACTAAACATTGTTTTGATGACATGGAGAACCATCGAAACTTAAACATTCGATTTAATTTGTTGAAAAAGAAAAGTCGAAGTCCTGACAACGAAACAAATGATATAGCCATTTGCAGGAAATAGTTTTTTTTCAAGCGCGGAAACAGAAGAGAATTGAAAATGTCTTGTCCAATGTAAACGCTTCAGTTTGTTAGCTCAGCCATACTTGTGAAAACTAATTTTTACTGAAAGTCACGCTTTTTTATGCATGAATACTGTTGGAAATGCACGATTGAAATTTTTTTAACAATGTAACTCAAAAAGCGTAAAATGAGTTCGATAAATTTATCTACCAATGTTGATACGTCGGCTATCGAGTATAAAAGATGATTGTTCTGTTTAGATTTTATAGCATGGAAAGAACTAGACATCTCGTGTTCATTTTTCTAGTTTGATCATATCAGAAATTAACTAGCTAGAGGAAAAGGATGACGATTTTCATAATTTGGATTATTTTTGCAATAAATATTCGCAGTTGTCAAGGAGATATGTCTTCGTATATCGATTTTCATCCTGATGGAACTGATTTTATTCCTGCAAACTCTGCCGAAATTCGTGGTAATCACTCCTCAGTAGTTTCGGCGTTCTCCTGTGTTTTGTTATGCCATCAAGATCCGCAATGTCGCACATTCGTCTTCGATTCATCGATTTGTCAATTATACGAAGGTTCATCCGACACCGGCCTTATCGTTACTTCACCTTCAACTAATCGTCTAGTGGGTAGTATCAACTATGATCTTGTTCAACTGGCAAATACATACAACAAATCATGTGATCATTGCTTTCCTGATCGATATTTAGTATACAGAAATATTACATGTCAATGTCCTTTGAACAGTTTTTATAATGGACAAGGTAAATGTCTCAATGAACTTTATCCAGATTCTTCAATGATATGTGAAGATGATAAATGGTGTCGTCAAAGTATGAATCAAACTTGTCAATGTGGAAAATGCCAATGCCCAACTGGACAAATCTATGGCTTAGTAAAACATGTAGACCACATTTTCTGAGTGGAATGTCTTGTAATACAAGTGATCAATGTCGAAATGATCTCAATTTAGTTTGTTCAAGAATTAACAAAACATGTATACGTATGTTTCTTGGCTCATTTCAATGTAATAGTCATATCTCCTGTTCCGTTGTAGCTATGAGAATTGTGCAAATGCCCGTGATTAGTGGAACACTCCCCAGCAAATTTTCCTATGTTGATGAGTCTTTCAACGCTAGTGGAGTGGAATGGTGGCGTGCTTTTGACGGCAATATATACACTTATTGGAATAGATTAGGGAGTTACCAAGTATTAGATTATATATTTATAACTTTTAATGATTCATATTTATTAAATTCATTACAACTAACAGTATATGGCGATGGAGCACATGATCCAAAAATAATCAATATCTATTTAGATGAAAATGGAACGTGTTTAGCTCAATCATTTTGGTTTCCACAAACAAACAATTTCACTACTTTCCCTCTAAATTACTTCAATACAAGTGTAAAACCGTTAGCAACAAAACATGCATTGTTATCTATCGAACGGTGGTCTGTCTATCAGGCCTATCTTTTCGAGTTGACATTTTTTGGTGGCTTATATTAACCCATATCAAAACTGTACGTTTCTAAATTCAAATGCGTTTCGCTTATTTTAAGTATTTCACGTTTAAATAAACTTTTACATCGTAGAATAACCCCAACGAATGAAGAAAATGTCGGTCTAAACGTAGAAATGATCAAAAACAAGAATTTAACTAACATTTGGATGTAGCTTTTCTATGTTTTGAATAATCTCCAAGACAACATTCGTATTGAAACAACGACCATTCGCTCTTTAGGATTTGAGTCGAGTATTATTCATCAACGCAAGATCCTTCTCTCGTCATCAAAAAATTATGCATCTCACTCTTTCAATCTCCAACATGACCGTAAATGGTGACTAAATATTACAAAAAGGAAAAGTGCATTTTTGTGAAACGATTCTCTTGTTTCAACTCAATCTACATAAATAACTCAAATCCGAATGATTTGTTTCTTTCTTAGCTATGAATATTTCGTCTCGTAGCCTTTCAAATTTGTCTTTTCATGTGAACACTCAAGTGTGTAACAGCATAATCTCATAAGATCGATGTTCGGCCGATCGTCGATAATGAATGGAAGTATCTGTCTTCCAGCTTCATCGAGTCGACACTCTCATTATAATTTATTGCGTATTGAGATAGTTTTATGAATTTCTTTTTCTAATATGTTCACATTGTTCATTTTAGAAATCAAAGAACAATTGCTGTCGGTGATAACGGAAGGGAATATTGAATAGATCAATTGTATTTTCACACAGTTCATTAATAATACGGGGAAGATGAGAAATTGAAGAACAAGAATGGAGGCTAGTGCGAGTGGACAAAAGACGAGCTAAATTGATTTTTGATGATTATAATCAAATTTATGTGACAGATTCTGCCGATCGACGGGTGCCAAAATTTCTTACTAAAATAAGTGGATTTTTTTTGCTGTGAGACTTAAAACACGAAATAAAAAAAGAGCTAAAAGTCTCCAAGTTCATTTTATTAGAATCAATTCGAACAATATACATGGTAAAAGATATCTCGACTAAGCATGAAGAGCATTTATTTAGGGCTTGAGTGGCTTAATCGTGGAGAGATCGTCTATGATGGCCAAAGACATGACAGGTTTGTGCCACTCATCACGACTCTCAATACCGTGAAAACCACCTACAACATAGCATGTCTTCTTCTCGTTCGTCGGTACACTTTCAAATTCGACAGGTGTGACAATCGGGTGTAATGCAACTTCATCGATGTTGCAATCGCTTTTGGTATGAAGTCCGTAGCAGAGTCGAAGAAACCAACCTGTAAGCTTCGTGTAACTTCTATTACACGAAAATCTTGCAACAAGATTCATATCAACAATGAAAATTGCTTACCCTGATCCAGATCCTTCATGTTCAACATTGAAGATTTGATCCCAGAATTCATTGTCTACTTTGTTTTGATAAGTATTTATTAGCTGATCAAGGATAGGCAAGGCACTGTCGATATACGTATGAAAATCATCGTCAGGTGTTGTAAAGCTCTGTAATTTTTCTGTTTTTCGTCGAAGAAGTAACCAATCATCCAATGTACCCAAGAAATGGACCTTCCGAATGCCACACAGTGTCCAACGAAGTCGATATTTAAAATACTGTCTGAAGGTATTCATGATGGTCGCACAATACAATAAGGATTCGACTCTGCCCGTTGTAGAATAGTTAGCTGTTAACAGTTCGACAATGTCGTTCTTGACATGTTTGCTTATCTCGCTGCTCATGCTTTCAAGAAATGCATTCCAGCTAGAAAAAAAAACTAGTAGAAAACACGCTCGAACTGATTTAAATGACTTACTCAGGTTTGGGTAGGATCTGTTCGATAGTCAGTTCGATCTTATCTTCGTGATCAACAAAAACGTGTCGTAATTTTTCTGCATTGCCATTGACATATTTAGCAAAATAAGTTGTAATCATCAGCCAAAAATCGCTAAAACATGGCATACAAGGGAATGATTTTATGAATAGAAAACTTACTCAGGCGAGAGTACGACGTCTTCATGTGAATTGTAGGCGTTCAGGAAAGCCGAGAACAGCCCGTGACGGTTAGCAAGACTTGTGTCTAAAACAATTAATCGAGGTGTGAACAATAGTTAGGCATATTGAGAATGTCAGAACTCACATGGCCCATTAGAAATCGTATGTTGCAACTTGAATCGATCTGATTGAGTATTTCTTTTCCATATATCTCCATTACTAAAGTAATCGATCAACGCATTGATCCAATATCCTTCTGGTGGAAGATCGCTCGACTCATTGGAGGGATACTGTTTCTGGACTGATGGGAGATCACCACGAATAATGATGGTATGAAATCGATCGTTTGTAGTCGAAGCGCTCATGATCACTATTTTACGAACGTTTGTGGGAGAGAATAACTTTGTTGTGAAATACGATGATCTGTTTTCGCGAGGACAAGAAAAACAACATTATTGCACAACCAATGCATAATTTCTTGTCACTGCATGACTCAGTCACAAGTAACAGCAAAGGAAAACATCCATATTATTATTTGGTACGCGCAACTGACGTTATGACAAACTCCACTAGATCATTCGTTAGTATTTCCATGTAATTTTATTTCATACTTTTCAAATTATGCATAAAATAATTATCCTTCTATAAGTCATCAGGATAAAACTGATACAATGGAAAACGTCAAGATAAATATGATGTAGACAGACATTTAGCCCATATTAGATTGAAGTTGGTTCATTGTGGCATCAAGTAGAAAGGTTTCGAGTTGCTGTTGTCGAGCATGCAGAATACGCTTGTAAGCTAATTGTCTTTCTTGAACCATGTTTGTTACTTTTGTTGATGTAACTAACGTCTCATTTTGTAGATTTCGAAGCTCTTGCCGACGCTGGTTAGTATCGTTAAGACCTAACAGACGACCAATGCCTGAGATTTGATGTAACATATGTAACCTGGAAATATCGTAATACGTTTTAGCCATAATATACAGCAGTGCAGCGTTCCCATCGATTGTTTCTGCTGCTGTAAGAACAAGTTCAACGAAAAATTCACGATCTCCGTCTTGTAGAGAAGCATTTGCTGCGAGTGCCTTTTCAATAACGTTGACGAATTGAGAACTAATGATTTCTTTCGTGCTATCGGCTTGAAGGGAAAGAGATTCGAAGAATTGACGAACCTCACTCCATTGCGTTTTCAAGTTCTGAATCTCTTGAAAAGCTTGCTTAAGAATCTCAACGATTTTCTCGGGTTCAATTAAATCGAGGTTGAGTGAAGCTATTTGTTGGATGAGTGCAGCCAATTTGTATTGTTCGCCAAGTTGTTTTTGAAAGTATTCATCGTGTTCAGCCTCGGCTCGTTTGAGTTCTTCAAGTTTTAGCTTGGCGATAGCCATTGCATTTTCAAACGCGGTATTATCGGCTGGTGCAGGCATAGGATTATTATTATTGCCAGAGCATTGACCAAGTATGCAACCCACGACCTGTATGGGTGCTGTTACCGCGTTCCATACAGAACCAACAATACCACCAAACCAGCTTTTACGTGTGTGCGGAGTAGGAAGCGCATTCACCGCATTCCAATATTCTTCTCGAGCTTTCTCCAGTGCTTTACGTTTTTCATCATACAGCTGTTTTATACTCGTGACATTCGCTGTCAATAATTGAATCTCATTTGTTCCATTGTTTATCTGTTGTTGTAATTGAGAAACGAGATTGGTGTTCGCAGTTTGTGTAGATAAAATAACGCGAATAATCTCTTCAATGACCTTTTGCAATTTCGCAAATTTCTCGACTGTTTCACTGGAAGCATTGACACAAATATCAGCGATACGAGTAATACTTGCTAAATTATTTGGTAATAGTGCCTTAATCATATTAGGTGACGCACGCGTGACTAATTTGAGTGTATTGTTAATATGTGTTGGAATTTGTGATGAAAACGTTTGAATACGATCCATACTCGTATGAGCAGCGAGTAGAGCGTCATACATATCGTGAGACAAATGTGCAAGTGTAGCCTTAAATGAATTAGGATATTTAATGAATTCATATACATAATTTGGTGATGGAAGAGTAAAACCGAAATCTTGCTGACTTGATAAAACCATGAGATTACCCAAATAGTTTATTATCAGCGGTCCTGCCACCATCAATTCTTCCCATTTTTCATCGATATTTCGTTGTGCTCTGAGTCGAGTATCTAGTCTATCATCAAGAACAGTTAAATTAGATTGCCGAACAATGATATCTACAAATTGAAAGATGTGAATGCACAGCTCTGTTATTACTAAGACTTCGCTTACCGTTGTCATCGCTAGTATTATCAGTCAAAAATGCCATAAACGCGTCATCTTCCATAATTGGAAGATGCGAAACAAGCGATCGATCCATCCGAAAGATTGCCATTCGGTATGAGTCAGTAACAGACTCAAACTCGATAGCTGAAGCACTACCAGTGAACGAGAAAAAACCTACCAACAATATCGCTCCTACAAACATACAGTGTAGGAACTTATTGGAAAAGGTTAATTTCAGCATATTATAGTCAGATGATATAATGTTCTTAATGAATATGTTATTTTACTTAGGTATTAATATACTCAAGCACATCGACTGGCGTGATCAGTGAGAATCAGCTCTTCTGGCGCAGCTGATTAATTTTCTCAATTGTATATTAATCGGTGTGTTTTTCGGAGAAAGATAGCAATGTACTTCTATTTTCACCGACGACGATTATCCGGTACATTGAGAGTGAATCGACATTACATACAACTAATTATACGAATTTGACAAAATATTGACGCAAACAAAATTCAGTGGCTGTAACGTTCTCATTTCTGATGCTATTATACACGTATTGCTTATATCTTCATCAGATGGACTATAGACCCATCGTCTTTATTTCAATATTCTAATGTACTTTTTGTGTTAACTATTTGCTCTTGCGTTCTATTTTTCGATAGATGACAACGTAAATGCGTGTCTCGCCTTACTGCAATGCCATTCGTGATAGAAATAAATAAATATAGACGTAGTTCTCATCACAGCCATTCGTTTTTAAAGAGAAGATCAAAAATTTGCTCTGTCACTCACTCGTAGTCCGCACAATCAATCTCCAGCGTGGAAAGCTTAGTTTCCATAGATTTGGTTGTATTTTCTGTCTGACGTCTTTCAGTTTTAAACCATACAACTTGGAATCTTCCAAGCTATTTCTACCTTCGAAAAGAAATTAGACGAGATAAACATATATACCTGATGACAATTCGTCAGCACTTTCTCGTACGATCGGATTAAACATAAGAGAATATGTAAAAACAACGTAATCATTTCAATTACCAAAGGATTATACACCTCATTTTTCAATTTTAGAATATGACTATAAATGTTTGCTTTATATCAGGAGAAACAAAAGTATTGTTTTGTGAAACTCGTTTCTCATTCTAATTTGGTCTATGACGGAAACGGAGCCCCTAAACAGCGTTGTCGTTTTCGCTCTTTTGAGGTGACAAAAATTTTCTTTTTGAATCTGTTCGATTTACACTGACTGTACTTTGTTCTAGCTTGATCAGTTTCTTTGCTCAAGCCAACTGCCAAGTGTGTGATAGCACAACGTCATACGATCGATGTTCAACCAACAGCGCTTGTGGTTGTTTTCCAATGGCTGGTGCTCAGAATGTTGGTGTGTGTGCTTTTCTCTGGAAGTTCTGTTCACAACTTGTTCCATGTGGACTATTACAAGATTGTTCTGATAGAGATCATGTCTGTGTTCATCATCGTCGATGCAGCAATGATCCTGTTTGTTATCCATTGTCGATGATGAATGAAAATATTTGTCCGCCAGCAGCCATTGGTAAGTAGAAAGCATTGAAAAGTTTCGATCTAATGATTTTCACTGACGAATAGCGGCAACAACCACCACTACCACAACCACAACAACAACAACTACTACTAGAAGTACTACAACGAATAGTATGCTCATATCTATGTTTTCAAAATACACAAAAGTCGATGAACAGATCCGATTTGTAGACTATGTGAACATAGTCAGCATATATACGGTGATGTTAAAAGTATAGATCGGCCACGAATAGAGTTTCAGAACTCATCTTATCACATATGAATGTGAGATTCGTATATAGTTTTGCTATGTTGTTTTAGAAGCAAAGTTCACCAATTGGAAACAAAACGGAATGATGGTTGTTGGTAGAAATGCGAGTGGCCAACATTCAACTCCACCTTTAAAGCCCATGGGAATTGCTTTTGATAAAAACAAGACACTTTTGATTGCTGATTATGACAGCGATCGTATTGTCCGATGGGCATCAGGTGAAATTTATGGATCAACTGTTGCAGCTGGGTTCGGAAGGGGAAATAAATTTGATCAACTAAATCAACCAACAGACATGATCTTTGATGAACGAAACAATTCATTCATCATTGCTGATTGGGGAAACAGACGACTAATTCGGTGGATGCATCGATTTGGACAAGAAATTCTACTGCAAAATATTTCATGTTACGATTTAGCAACAGACAAATTCGGATATCTTTACATCTCTGATTCGGCTAATGGTGAGGTGAGACGATGGAAAATGACAGAAATCAAAGGAAAACAGGGAGTCTTAGTAGCTGGTGGAAACGGAAAAGGAAATCAATCGAACCAATTAGATAATCCTTCCTTTATTTTCATTGACGACGAACAATCAGTATATGTTTCGGACAGATACAATCACCGTGTAATGAAATGGGAGAAGGGTGCCAAAGAAGGAGCGGTCGTAGCTGGTGGAAATGGAGCTGGAAATTATTCTGAACAACTGGATGAGCCTCAAGGAGTAGTNGAGGAGAATAACTTTGTTGTGAAATACGATGATCTGTTTTCGCGAGGACAAGAAAAACAACATTATTGCACAACCAATGCATAATTTCTGGTCACTACATGACTCAGTCACAAGTAACAGCAAAGGAAAACATTCATATTATTATTTGGTACGCGCAACTGACGTTATGACAAACTCCACTAGATCATTCGTTAGTATTTCCATGTAATTTTATTTCATACTTTTCAAATTATGCATAAAATAATCATGCTTCTATAACTCATCAGGATAAAACTGATACAATGGAAAACGTCAAGATAAATATGATGTAGATAGACATTTAGCCCATATTAGACTGAAGTTGGTCTATTGTGGCATCAAGTAGAAAGGTTTCGAGTTGCTGTTGTCGAGCATGCAGAATAAGCTTGTAAGCTAATTGTCTTTCTTGAACCATGTTTGTTACTTTTGTTGATGTAACTAACGTCTGATTTTGTAGATTTCGAAGCTCTTGTCGACGCTGGTTAGTATCGTTCAGACCTAACAGACGACCAATGCCTGAGATTTGATGTAACATATGTAACCTGGAAATATCGTAATACGTTTTAGCCATAATATACAGCAGTGCAGCGTTCCCATCGATTGTTTCTGCTGCTGTAAGAACAAGTTCAACGAAAAATTCACGATCTTCGTCTTGTAGGGGAGCATTTGCTGCGAGTGCCTGTTCAATAACGTTGACGAATTGAGAACTAATGATTTCTTTCGTGCTATCGGCTTGAAGGGAAAGAGATTCAAAGAATTGACGAACCTCACTCCATTGCGTTTTCAAGTTCTGAATCTCTTGAAAAGCTTGCTTAAGAATCTCAACGATTTTCTCGGGTTCAATTGAATCGAGGTTGAGTGAAGCTATTTGTTGGATAAGTGCAGCCAATTTGTATTGTTCGCCAAGTTGTTTTTGAAAGTATTCATCGTGTTCAGCCTCGGCTCGTTTGAGTTCTTCAAGTTTGTGCTTGACGACAGCCATTGCATTTTCAAACGCTGTATTATCGACTGGTGCAGGCGGCATAGGATTATTATTATTGCCAGAACATTGGCCAAGTATGCAACCCACGACCTGTATGGGTGCTGTTACCGTGTTCCATACAGAACTAACAATACCACCAAACCAGCTTTTACCTGTGTGTGGAACAGGAAGCGCATTCACCGCATTCCAATACTCTTCTCGAGCTTTCTCCAGTGCTTTACGTTTTTCATCATACAGTTGTTTTATACTCGTGACATTCGCTGTCTATAATTGAATCTCATTTGTTCCATTGCTTATCTGTTGTTGCAATTGAGAAACGAGATTGGTGTTCGCAGTTTGTGTAGTTAAAATAACGCGAATAATCTCTTCAATGACCTTTTGCAATTTCTCAAATTTCTCGACTGTTTCACTGGAAGCATTGACACAAATATCAGCGATACGAGTAATACTTGCTAAATTATTTGGTAATAGTGCCTTAATCATATTAGGTGACGCACGAGTGACTAATTTGAGTGTATTGTTAATATGTGTTGGAATTTGTGATGAAAACGTTTGAATACGATCCATACTCGTATGAGCAGCGAGTAGAGCGTCATACATATCGTGAGACAAATGTGCAAGTGTAGCCTTAAATGAATTAGGATATTTAATGAATTCATATACATAATTCGGTGATGGAAGAGTGAAACCGAAATCTTGTTGACTTGATAAAACCATGAGNTTTCTATAGATTTGGTTGTATGTTCTGTCTGACGTCTTTCAGTTTTAAATCAAACAAGTTGGAATCTTTCAAGCTATTTCTACCTTCGAAAAGAAATTAGACGAGATAAATATATATACCTGATGACAATTCGTCAGCACTTTCTCGTACGATCGGATTAAACATAAGAGAATATGTAAAAACAACGTTATCATTTCAATTACCAAAGGATTATACACCTCATTTTTCAATTTTAGAATATGACTATAAATGTTTGCTTTATATCAGGAGAAACAAAAGTATTGCTTTGTGAAACTCATTTCTCATTCTAATTTTGTCTATGATGAAAACGAAACCCATAGATAGCGTTGTCGTTTTCGCTCTTTTCAGGTGACAAAAATTTTCTTTTTGAACCTGTTCGATTTACACTGACTGTACTTTGTTCTAGCTTGATCAGTTTCTTTGCTCAAGCCAACTGCCAAGTGTGTGATAGTACAACGTCATACGATCGATGTTCAACCAACAGTGCTTGTGGTTGTTTCCCAATGGCTGGTGCTCAGAATGTTGGTGTGTGTGCTTTTCTCTGGAAGTTCTGTTCACAACTTGTTCCATGTGGACCGTCACAAGACTGTTCTGATAGAGATCATATCTGTGTTCATCATCGTCGATGCAGCAATGGTCCTGTCTGTTATCCGTTGTCGATGATGAATGAAAATATCTGTCCGCCAGCGTCACCCGGTAAGCAGAAAATGTGTAACCTACACAAGAGATAAAGTTTGAAGTGAAAATGGTTTGTATTAATGAATAGTGACAAATACGACGGTGGCAACCACTACAATGGAAGTGGCGACTACAACGAAAAGTAAGCTCAGCTTCGTTCTTTCAGAATAGAAGGAATCGGTGAAACGATAAACTGTGAAGATTTTTATATAGTGATAGTCATGATATATGTAGTGATATAAAGAATATAGTCTGATCACGAAGATCGGAGTTCTGGCAGTATATAAGATTGACTACAACCATATAGTCAGTAACAGTCTGAAGCGTTTCATCTGGAAATAGTTAGATTGAAAAAGAAAGAGTTTCTGTATTATTGTGTAGATGCTGAATGAATTGTCCGGAGTTTTGAAACCTGAGCTGATTGTATTGAAATGTCACTTATTCATCAAATGATTATGAAAATCATAGTCCATAGTATAAGTGTGCAGGTTACAGTCAGTTTGTAACTGTTAGAGTTGAGAGAATCGGAAAACTTGGTCAACGAAATTATGTATGACATAGGCCGAGATTTCTTTTTCCTGAAAGACTGTTTTCAAGCATTTTTCTGTGCTTTTCTATCATTTTGAGAAACCAAAACATTTCAGCGTCTTGTTTTGATGTTTCAGAAGCTAAATTTAGTAAATGGGAACAAAATGGTAAGATCGTCGCTGGTAGCAACATGGAAGGGGAGCAGTTATCTGATCTGCGACGTCCTAATGGATTCATTCTTGACAAAAATCGGACTGTCGATGTCGCTGACGGGGGCAATTGTCGTGTTATGCAGTGGATGTCGGGTAGAAGTGAAGGCAATGTTGTTGCTGGTGGCAATGGATACGGATCCAAAATTAATCAGCTGACGTTACCAATAGATCTGATTATTGACGAACAAGATAATTCATTGATCATTGCTGATTTTGGAAGTCAACGAGTAGTTCGATGGTTCAATCGAACTCATCAAGAAATTCTTCTTGAACGTATTTCATGTGATGACCTAGCAACAGACAAATATGGATATTTTTACGTTTGTGACTCAAAACAGAATGAGGTGAGACGATGGAAAATGACAGAAATTAAGGGGAACAAGGGAGTCTTGGTAGCTGGTGGAAACGGAAAAGGAAATAGATTGAATCAATTAGATACTCCTGGCAGCATTTTCATTGATGATGAACAATCAATATATGTTTCGGACAGATACAATCATCGTGTGATGAAATGGAAAAAGGATGCTAAGGAAGGAACCGTTGTCGCTGGTGGGAATCATCGAGGGAACAAGTCTGAACAACTGGATGGGCCTGGTGGCGTAATCGTTGATGATGATGGTCAAATCTACGTAGCAGATTCTGGGAACAATCGAATAATGTGTTGGAAGGAAGCTATGAAAGAAGGTGAACTTGTTGTCAATGCAACTGCAGGTGCATCGGGATTAAATGAATTCCGGTATCCTTCAGATTTGGCATTTGATTTCGATGGAAATCTTTATGTTAATAATCGCGGGTATAACCGTATTCTAAGATTTGATTTAATGACTCAATAAAAGTCATATCGCAATTTTTTTAAAGAAACGCCTATGCATGAAACGAAAGATGTTGTGTTTTTGGATTTCAAATAAAATTGGAGAAAAATCTCTTTTTTTCCAACTTTGATTTTGAATAACCAAACAGGGATAAGTGTGACTATTAAATATAGAAGTCGATAACATTGTGAAAAAATGAAACTAACGAGCAAATGCTAAATGAGATTTTGAAACATTCAGTTCGACCCTTCATATCGTCATTGAATATACATGAAATTATGACAAGATCGACAAATATAGCCCCTAATGTCATAAAGAAAGTGTAGTTACAATATGAACTCATTCATTTGTTGATTCTATTTCCGAAACATTCAGGTTTTCCACACTAATAAATAGCACTTTTCTACTGAGGGACAACGATTAGCTTCTGTTAGCAAATCAATCTAACAAGCAGTGTCGTGAGGATTTTGACGAAATAAATATGAGTAAACACTCTGATGAATTAATGTTTGGATATGTGATGGCATTTCTTCAGTACGTTTTCCATGCGATGGAATCAAGTAGAATAGAGTGTGCAAAAACAGTATCATCATATCAATTAACAAAGGATTATACACCTCAATTTTCAAGTATAACTATAAATGATTGCTTTGTGAAACTGGCTTCTCATTCAAGCCTAATCTACAATGACAACAAAACCATCAAACAGTTGTGTCATTATTGTGCTTTTGAGGTATTGAAAACTTCTCTTTGTTTTTTAAATTATACTGAAGATGAATATACTTTTCGTTTGAGTCTCATCTGTTTCTTTGTTCAAGCCAACTGCCAAGTGAGTGATCATACAATTTCATATGATCGATGTTCAACCAACAGCGCTTGTGGTTGTTTTCCAATGGCTGGTGCTCAGAATGTTGGTGTGTGTGCTTTTCTCTGGAAGTTCTGTTCACAACTTGTTCCATGTGGACCGTCACAAGACTGTTCTGATAGAGATCATATCTGTATTCATCATCGTCGATGCAGCAATGATCCTGTTTGTTATCCATTGTCGATGATGAACGAAAATATCTGTCCGCCAGTAGCCATTGGTAAGTAGAAAGCATTGAAAAGTTTCGATCTAATGATTTTCACTAATGAATAGCGGCAACAACCACCACTACCGCAACAACAACTACTACTAGAAGTACTACAACGAATAGTAATGTGAACACAGTCAGCATATATACGGTGATGTCAAAAGTATAGATCGGCCACGAATAGAGTTTCAGAACTCATCTTATCACATATGAATGTGAGATTCGTATATTGTTTTGCTATGTTGTTTTAGAAGCAAAGTTCACCAATTGGAAACAAAACGGAATGATGGTTGCTGGTAGAAATGCGAGTGGCCAACATTCAACTCCACCTTTAAAGCCCATGGGAATTGCTTTTGATAAAAACAAGACACTTTTGATTGCTGATCATGACAGCGATCGTATTGTCCGATGGGCATCAGGTGAAATTTATGGAGCAACTGTTGCAGATGGATTCGGAAGGGGAAATAAATTTGATCAACTAAATCAACCAACACACATGATCTTTGATGAAGGAAACAATTCATTCATCATTGCTGATTGGGGAAACAGACGACTAATTCGATGGATGCATCGATTTGGACAAGAAATTCTACTGCAAAATATTTCTTGTTACGATTTAGCAACAGACAAATTCGGATATCTTTACATCTCTGATTCGGCTAATGGTGAGGTGAGACGATGGAAAATGACAGAAATCAAAGGAAAACAAGGAGTCTTAGTAGCTGGTGGAAACGGAAAAGGAAATCAATCGAACCAATTAGATAATCCTTCCTTTATTTTCATTGACGACGAACAATCAGTATATGTTTCGGACAGATACAATCACCGTGTAATGAAATGGGAGAAGGGTGCCAAAGAAGGAGCGGCCGTAGCTGGTGGAAATGGAGCTGGAAATTATTCTGAACGACTGGATGAGCCTCAAGGAGTAGTNGGAGTCTTAGTAGCTGGTGGAAACGGAAAAGGAAATCAATCGAACCAATTAGATAATCCTTCCTTTATTTTCATTGACGACGAACAATCAGTATATGTTTCGGACAGATACAATCACCGTGTAATGAAATGGGAGAAGGGTGCCAAAGAAGGAGCGGCCGTAGCTGGTGGAAATGGAGCTGGAAATTATTCTGAACGACTGGATGAGCCTCAAGGAGTAGTTGTTGATGAGTATGGTCGAATCTATGTGACAGATTCTAATAACCACCGAGTAATGCGTTGGAAGAAAGGAATGAAAGAAGGTGAACTCATTGTTGGTGGCAATGGAAACGGAAATCAACCTAATCAGTTGCATAAACCTATGGATTTATCGTTTGATTCCGAAGGAAATCTGTATGTCGCTGACTGTTTTAATCATCGAGTGCAAAAGTTTGATTCAATTTAATAAAATTCTCATAGAGAAAAACGTCAAAAACTTTTTTCAAGAGAAGAATTTTAAATGAAAAATAAATTTGAAGCTACCTTGTTTATTTTCGCAGTGAATGATTTTTGTTTTAGGAAAACCAAATTAGTATCAAAACTGATTCTCGAAATGTTTCAAAATAAATACAACTGAAAAAAGGTATGCAATATATTTGAAACAAATAATAGAATTTTAGTATATACGTTCTCATACATTCGTTTAAGGTTTTACTTTCGTAGAGGCTACGTTTATGTTGGTAGGAAATGCGGTAAACCGCTTAGATCAAACATAACTTGGCCTAACGATCTCGTAAGACCATACTCGGAATCATGCAACTGCATAACTATTAAACCGGTGCCTTTTACTGGCAATGCGATTTGTCGTTGACAAGATTCAGTATGACGTCGACCAAAAAAACAAAATCACCACTTCAATTATCGAAGGATTACCCAGCTCATTTTTCGATTTTTAGAAATCATGGTAAATGGCAGCTATATATCGCTAGGAGCACGAGTATAGTATCATTGCAAGCTATTTTTCATCCAAATCCAATTTACGACTATGACAGAAACAAAAATTAGTTGCTCTGTTTTTGTCTTTTTAAGGTAGTGAAAAATTACGTTCGATTTGAATTCGATTCATCGATCAAAAATGTTTCATCTTAGCTTGGTTAATTTGTTTGTCCTAGTCAACTCTGAAGTATGTACCAAAACAGATCCATACGGCCGATGTTCGACAAATAGTGCTTGTGGATGCTTTCCAATGGCAGGTGCTCAGAATGCTGGCGTTTGTGCATTTCTCTGGAAGTTTTGTTCTCAACTCATTCCATGCGAATCATCACAAGATTGTTCACAACCAGATCATATCTGTGTCCATCACCATCGATGTAACCATCGCCCTGTTTGTTATCCCTTGCTGATGGCCAATGAAGCTATCTGTCCGCCAATATCACCCAGTAGGTAGAAAATATATACTTCGACTTGATATAGAGTCTTCAATGAAAATAATTTCTATTGATGAATAGTAACAAGCACTACGACTACCCAAATCCTAGAGACTACAACCACAAGTAAGCTCATTGTAATGCTTTAAGCTGGGTTACTGCAGCTATAGAGACGGGAAACTATGATTTGAATATGCTTCATCCGAGTTCATGAAAAATCGGAGAAAACATCTGAATCGGAAGAATATAAATATAGCTGTATTCTGCATGTGATATAAAATTATGGAGAACAAGTTTTATTGACTATTTCTCAAAAAATGAAAATGCCTACAGTATATAGCTCAAATGTCTGGCCAGAGATAGTTCAAATCTGTTTATGAGACTAAAAGTGACCCTAAAGAATATTCTCCTTCGTTTGACTTTTGATTAGCTATGGATAACACATAAGTGCTCGCTATGCATCTTTATAGCTTTGATTGCCTGCCAAAATAAAAGAAATAAATTTTACAAGATATCATCGACAATCATCTTATTTTCTTTTTTAGGTATAAAATTGAACAACTGGGAACAAAATGGTCAGACTGTTGCAGGAGGAAATCAAAAAGGGGACAATTTAAATCAACTTTATGCCGCCCAGGGAATCTTCATTGATCAGAATAACGATCTTTTCGTTGCTGACACTCAGAATAATCGCATTATGAAATGGAAACCAAATGCGACTGAAGGAACGATTGTTGCTGGTGGAAATGAGACAGGAAAAGGAATAGCTAAACTGAATAGACCTACTGATATTATTGTTGTTTCACAAGATAATTCATTGATCATTGCTGACTGGGGCAACTGGCAGGTAGTTCAATGGTTCAATCAAACTTATCAAGAAGTTCTCATCCAAAATATCATTTGTCATAGCGTGAAAATTGATAAATATGGATTTCTCTATGCTTCTGATTTAAACAATCACGAAGTGCGACGATGGAAGATGGGAGACGTCAAAGGGAAAAAAGGAACAGTAGTTGCTGGTGGAAATGGAATAGGAAGCGACTCGAAACATTTGAATAAGCCCACTTTCATTTTCGTCGATGATGAACAATCAGTTTATGTCAGTGACTGGGGAAATCATCGTGTCATGAAATGGGGAAAAGATGCAAGATATGGAATACTCGTAGCCGGTGGATATGGAAAAGGAAGTCGTCTTAGTCAGTTGGATAGTCCGAGTGGGCTGTTTGTTGACCATGCTGGTCATACTTACATAGCAGATTATAATAATCATCGAGTNAATAAGCCCACTTTCATTTTCGTCGATGATGAACAATCAGTTTATGTCAGTGACTGGGGAAATCATCGTGTCATGAAATGGGGAAAAGATGCAAGATATGGAATACTCGTAGCCGGTGGATATGGAAAAGGAAGTCGTCTTAGTCAGTTGGATAGTCCGAGTGGGCTGTTTGTTGACCATGCTGGTCATACTTACATAGCAGATTATAATAATCATCGAGTGGTACGTTGGAGTCAAGGAAAGAGAGAAGGTGAACTGATTGTTGGTGGCAATGGGATTGGAAATCAATCAAATCAACTGAACATAGCCAGTGGTGTAACATTTGATGTAGAAGGAAATCTTTACGTCACTGATTATTTTAATCATCGAGTGCAAAAATTTGGTTTAATTTCTCAATAAAATTTTCATTCAAAGTTCTTACGAACTTTTGTGCTCTGTCATATTTGTCGCTCTAAACACTTCGATCTCAACAACCAAAATGCCCATGAAAGTTTATTGGACTCACAAACTGATTCGACTTTTTATATTGTATTTTATGATGCTTTTTTTGCTCTTATCATACATCACATGCAATATATTTTACCTAAGAAAACAAGCTCAAACAGACTTTTGATTCTTGTCTACGTCTTTGAATAGTGCGACGGAGACCACTGATAGTATAAAGAGCAATTCCTTTTCTTCCCGCTAGGCAAATCTGAATTTCGAGTTGGATGGTTCTTGCAGCAATTGCGGGAATATTCACTATCGGTACTGCTCTAAAAGGTCTAAACGACATTTACAATACATTCAGCAGAAAAACAGATGTTACCCAAATAAGACGTAACACGAATGGTCATCTCATACACCGCGGCAGATCGGACACAAATCACGAAATCACGAACATTATTCATGGTGTACACGCTATCTTCGAACAATCATTTGTAGCCGTCGTCGGCTTTTTCTTGTTAGTGTTCTTGATTTTCACAATATTATGTTTCGTTTCTTTACTCTCTCCACAATCAAACGTTGCTTCGATTCTACATTCAACCATGTTCATTGCTACTCTTGGCATTATAGATCGTGCAGTGAGCGTTCATGTGAAAGGAAAGGAAGTCAACTACTCGTTATCAGTTCAAGCAATGAAAATGATCACTGTCGTTATACTCTCTGTATATTATTTTCCCGGTACTTCAGAGCGGGATACGATATTTTTTTGATCATGGTACTCTCCTTCTTCTACCAATACTATATTTCTATGTTCAAAAGATGAGAGATTCTCTTAATGAAGCTGGATCTTGGAATTTTATTCAATATTAGCTTTTCGGATGGATAGGTGTGGATATGATGATTGTATCTACTATCATTTTAATCTTATGTGCCTGGCTCTGTCGTCTTATTTTCAAGATTTTATCATACTTGAGTGTGAGTATGACATCTATATTGATTCCTATTCTTGTCATACTGTTCTATATCTTACGGCCTGGACGATAAGTAATATCTGTCAACATTGAACAGACGACAAAATAGCAGTTGTGATTATTTTTTGATATTAACTATATTCATGAGTTTCGAAATGATCTCGATCTACCTCATAAGTCTTTTCGTTATTTTACTTTCGACTAAGAGAGTGTGACAGTGACAACTATACGTGAAGCAGAATCTATTTGACTTAAAAGCAGATTTACTGATTCAAATGTGAAAT